AACAGCCCATCAACACCACCGATGTCTCAGGGTTTTACGGTAACTACCACCCAGTTAGATAAGGATGATTCTGAAGGTTCATCAGGAGAGCTTTGCTCAGCTTGTAATCTACAAGACAGAAATACTGCACCAAATGATAAGGGTTCACCAAACAGATGTGGGTCTGCTGGCTTTAGTCCAACAAATGAGGTGTCACCTTCATCACCTGAGAGATCTTCTCCTTGGACACAGTCAGACTTTAAAACCTCTGATCACTGTCTTGAGAGTAAAGCCACTGATGGTCCTGGAGTTGATGTTAATAATGTCATCCTTTCAGATTCAGACACAGAAATTTATATTCAGAACAGAAATAACACAGGTCCAACAGAAGCATCAAGTGATAATCGTTCCTGTGAAGAAACCGTGTCTTCTCAGGAGGCTGTTTTTGATGCCCAGCAACACGAGGATATAGAAGTCACGTCAATATACTTTAACTCAAGTTCTGTGTTGACTTCCTCAGCAATGTCAAACATAGAAAATCCGGTCTCTGGCGATGTGGTAGTGAATACACAAGAAGAGTGTCCTAGTTTTCCTGCAACTGTTTCTTCAGCTACTCCAGAAAGTGACAGAAAACATCCTAACAAGAAATCTTTTAGTCATGTTAATCAAACACGTCATGATCTTAATTCTAGTAGCATCCTGGAAACTAAGGATGTACAGAGAGTTGAAGTAGATAGTTATAGTGTACCTGAGACTGGCCTCGGGTTGGTAGATGGTATTTCAGATAATGTTGATAGGGAAAATATATTAGTCAATGAGTGTCATGAAGACAAGGAGTTAATTGAGACCACAATGTCAAACATAGAAAATCCAGTCTCTGGCGATGTGGTAGTGAATACACAAGAAGAGTGTGCTAGTTTTCCTGCAACTGTTTCTTCAGCTACTCTAGAAAGTGACGGAAAACATCCCAACAAGAAATCTTTTGGTCATGTTAATCAAACATGTCATGATCTTAATTCTAGTAGCATCCTGGACACTAAGGATGTACAGAGAGTTGAAGTAGATAGTTTTAGTGTACCTGAGACTGGCCTCGGGTTGGTAGATGGTATTTCAGATAATGTTGATAAGAAAAATATATTAGTCAATGAGTGTCATGAAGACAAGGAGTTAACTGAGATCACAAACATGATTTCTTATGCAAAACAAATGTTTAAGAATATGCAGGAGTTTCTAGGTGTTTCTGTTCCAATTCAGGATCCAATCGTGCATCCATTTAATACTGAGAAGGTATCTACCACCACATCGCATCATGGACATACATTTCATCTTAGTAGAAGTAGTGAAAAGTTTCTAGAAAATGAGTCTGCAAGCACATATGAAAACATGGTTGGGCCTGAAGTACATTCTTTAAGAACATTTATTGGAAACCCTGAAATCGACAGTGAAACATGTCCATTATCAGAGACAGTAGGAAAAGACACATCTCACTGCAGCTTGAGGTCAAACGTACATAGAGACAGCAACACATGGAGTGAGGGAAGTACAGCTGGACATATTTTAAATCTTAATTCAGAGCTCTTACCTTTTGAAGTAATGAAATATGACCCAAGACACCATGGCACCGAACATGAAGTTTGTGGTGATGATTTTATTTCTATTAAAGATGGTTTAGATTTGGGTTCTGGAAAGTTATCCAGAAGCTCACACTCAATAAGTTTTCAGACTTCCCCTACTGTGTTAAAGGTGTTAAATAAACAAATACTGGAACATAAAGTTAATTGTGTTGACAAGAAAGATACTGTGCAAAAACCAGAATTTTTGTGTTCTGAAGCTAATTGTGATAGTCATGACATTGAAAGTAGGCAAGAATTTACAGAAGTAAAACACAAACATACACAGATTCTGAGTTTGTGTAAGAATTCAGGTATGTTGGAGAGTGATTATAATTTACAGATAGAGAAACCATCAAATTTGTTGGACGAAAGTCACACAGATTCTGAAACTGATCAGACAGACATGATGTCTAGTGAAGGCGATCAGATGTTAATGATGTTACATGACTCAGACTTAAGTCCTGGAGTCACAGCTGATCAAGATGAATGCAGTAGCAGAGGAAACAGTATAACTAGAAGTAAATGCATGTCACCCAAGAAAGCAAGCTGTTTAACAATAAGTGAGGAGATGTTTATTGATAAAGAATCATCTGAAATCAGACAGAGCATGAATACTGCAGAAGCAGTGTGCAGTAGTGACACTGTGGTGGATAACTGTGCGGTAGATGAAGCCTTAGGATACCAAGCTTCTGGCTCAGAAATTGGATTAAGTCACTTTGATGTAATCAGTAATCAAAGATTAGACTCTCTGAGGAACCTTCAGCCTATTGTTGTGTCCAGTTCACTGTCATTATTACGACCAGATGGACTGTCAGTGGGTTCAAGTAAAATGTGTCAGCCAAAAGAAGATAAGGAAAGAGATGTTTCCATTACAAACACAGGTACAGCCTTTAAGGTTGCACTGTCCATTGCAAATCAGAAGACATCAGATTCTCAGGTCACTACTAATGCTGAAAATGCTACAGAACAAGACATTTTGTCAAAAGATCATGAAATTGTTGAAACAGGTACACAGCATAGCACAAGAGGGGGTGAGTGTCAAGAGGAAACTGCAAAGAATGCGTGTTGGAAGGAAGTTGTAAATCCTGTTATAGGTATGTTGGTTTCAGTGTATGTCATGTATGTCGATTTGTAGTATCTTAGATTTACTGCCTTATTTTTATTAGCAAGCCATGGGAGCATAGCAGCCAGCACGCTTGCCTGTCCGCCCAGGGGTTGTGCATTTGAAATCCTATTTGTACAGGGAATTTAAGGTTGGAAACTCAGAACTTTGCCTAACTAAACAGGCACCCCCCTTAGTACTGAACACGTATTGCAGACATACTCTCTACATGTAGTAGAGAGATCCAAGATCTGGCTAGTTGCCATTCCGAGTTTAAACCAAGCTATGTGCAGTACATGCATCACACCAATCTTCATGGAGGCCTGTGGCCTTTTTATCTGGAAATCACTGGTAAGAAGAATGAAAAGATGAAGAATCCCTATTAAGGCCAGGTATTTCTTAAAACTAATCTAGGCTCCCAAAATCAGCCAATATTAAAATAGGGATTAGAACAGTTCTTGGAAAGTAAAGGTGACTGGTGTGATATTGAACATATCATCCTTCAAGTATCTGTCTAAACATATGGGGTAAGCACCGTATGCCCAGTACACCTCATGATATAAAGAAGAACCTTTTAATTTACGACTACAATGTTATTTTAAGGTCCGTGTTTTTAATTTGGTGGTCTACTGACCCACAGGGGTTTGCAAAACAGTTTTAACATGTCCATGATATAAGGGGGGGGGGGGGAACCACCCACCTAAACTTTAGAATGCAATCCTCTTTGCAATTCTAATATTTATAAATTATCATTTCTTCAGTATGACTGTTATCAAATATGGAAAATAAGAGCTAGTTGAGAACCCCTGATTTAGGTCAGTGTTCTATTGAGTACAGAATAATATTGTTGTTAGCTAATTTTTCTCCACAGCTCACAACCCGTCTTTGTGAGTACATATAACAGAGAAAACTATTTGATTAAATGTATGTGATGTCTGGTAGGCATGTTAGTGTTATTTGAATGAGTAAGATTGTAATCCGTGTATGGAAATTTCTTTGCTCTCTTTGCATTTCCTTATTTATACGTGATCTTACTTTACACTAGATGCTGCCATTACTGTGAATTGGTGAGTACCAAATCATTGATGACCACCTGAGTAAGTAAAGGATTGGGAATATAGGGCTAGAGCTATATTTGGTGGGTGATGTGGTCAGCATCACGTCGGCGACCTTTACTTCCCAGGACGGCACCTGGTAACCACACAAGGCTGGTCAACCTGGAAGTCAAGGTCATTTTAAAAAAAAGTCATGCTCCCTCAGGACGCGAGAACCCATGACCTGTCTAGTCACTAATGCCACGGGGACTCCCGACCACCTGAGGTGATATTTTTTTTAAGTAAAGGACCCTTTTCTTTACACCAGTGGTGTGTGGGATATATGATGCGTGGTGTGTGGGATATATGATGCGTGGTGTGTGGGATATATGATGTGTGGTGTGTGGGATATATGATGCGTGGTGTGTGGGATATATGATGCGTGGTGTGTGGGATATATGATGTGTGGTGTGTGGGATATATGATGCGTGGTGTGTGGGATATATGATGCTAGACTTATATTTCTACAGACCTATCGACACTCATTGGATGATGTGATCGGCATCACATTGACCACCTTCACTTCCCAAAGCATTACCTAGTACCCATGTTTGGTTGGGTCGACTGGGGAGCTAAAAAAATTCTCCCCTCAAAAATATGCTTTGATGCAAATTTGAACCTGAGACCTTCAGGACGGCAGGTTAGCGCCTAGCCAGAGGGCAACTATATTAGCTTGAATTTACCATTGTGGGTGAAGCCACATTCTCTAAAGAGGTTTGTAACAACAAATGTAGAATGTTTGTTTAAATTGCTTTTGCTTTCATTGGTCAGACTTTACATGTCGTTTGTCTAACTCTTCATATTTCTTTTCCTTCTTCCCTTACCTCTCTTTTTCCACTTGCTATATCTTTCATCTTTCTTTTTTATTATTATTGTTTCTGGCACCATCAGTATGGGAACTTCATTGGCTTTTGAGGACAGAGCACATATGGTAATGCCCCACGTGCGATGATGTCAGATCATTCATTCATGCTTCTTCCCCTTCTTATTCTTTTTGTTATCTTTTTATTTTTATTTTCTTCTTCTTCACCTCTTTTTCCTTCCTCTCCTCAGCTTCTTTCTTCTCCTTTTTCATCTTCTTCCTTTTCTTGTTGTTGTTCTTCTTCTTGCTTATGTGCTTATCAAACACAGTGACTCATCTTTAAAAAGGGATAACACGACCATAATTTTCTTCACTTTATTGGACTATGTTTTTTGTTCTGATTGATTTAGGAACAAGAACTTTTGTAAGCAACCTCTCAGGGCATATAGGGAATGAGGAGCAATGGCAACAACTCTCTTCACAAACACAGAAAGAAATGCTAGGCATACATTCAGAATGTAAGTGACATTCAGAATGTAAGTTTACTGAACATGTAAAATAAATAAAAATATTCCCCATGGGTTCTGGGGCCTCACTGTGTAATAGACAAGCATAGACTGCTACTGCCTCCCCAACAAGCATGTCGTGAGAGTCTGCTAACTGGGAGCTTTCTTCGAAGTCGGAGAACATCTGCCTGAGAGGCAAGGAACCAACAGTCTGCATGGAAATGAGTCAGATCTGTGAAACAGATGTGCATGCAACACTCTGGTTCTGGAACAGGGCTAGAGTCCAGAAGTGGACGAACAATCAGACCTTTCTGCTGGAGTTTATAACCGATGAACGCAAAAAAGAAGAAGATATACAAATATTGTGATTTTACTATCTAGCAGGATGAGATTAATAAAAGGCAAATGATAATATTCAGTAATTCTGGTATAAATAAACACTTTCTGTTACTTGATTAATTCAGTAATTGTGGTATAAGTGAGTGAACTTTTATAGTCAATCAATCAGTCACTCAGTTGGGTGTTATCTCCATAAGGAAGTTTGGCTGAAATGGTACTCTTAACACACTGTGTTTCTTATATTTATTGTACACATTTTGGGATTGCAGTTTGTCTATCTCTTGATGTTATCCCTTCATTTGTACGACTGACTGCCTCTTGCTCACTTGCTTTCAGCTTTTCTGTCCAGTATAGTTTTTATGCTTTTGTGTTTTTTTATATGGCTAAAATATTTCCTTCAGCAACTCTATTCATACCAAGTATTTTTAGAACCTCTGTTTTTTTTAAAAATCTCTGTGTGGTTTCCAGGGCCCCTGTATGTGGGGTGGGGGGGGGGGTGGGGGGGGGGGGGAGAATAGGTCCACTGCCCTGTGTTGTAAAAGTTGACTAATTAGAGATATTTCCTTCAAAACTGGAGTGCATCTGCCTGAGAAGAACCAGTAGTCTGCATTCAGATAAGCCAGATCAGTAAACTGGATGTGCATGCAAAATTCAGTTCCTAAAATAAGACTAAAGTCCAGAACTGGATGAACAACCAGAACCTACTGCCAGAGTTTATAGCTGGTGAATGCAAAGTAGAAGATTGTTTTTGTTTCCATGAAATACGCCCTAAATTTTTTTTCCATGTCCCGTATGCCCGACATATCACTGTTGTGAAAAGGTGACTTTACTTTATATACTTTATAAAATATTTATGAGGTAGGGTCGACCTCAGAGCTGTACAGGTAAAAAATAAAAAAAAAGGTTTACATTACTTACTGAAATCTTAATAACTCTGTCCTCCGTCGAACCAACATAAAGTGGTCTCCTGGGACATCACTCACAACCAGGAATAGGTCCACTGCCCTGTGTTGTAAAAGTTGACTAATTAGAGATATTTCCTTCAAAACTGGAGTGCATCTGCCTGAGAAGAACCAGTAGTCTGCATTCAGATAAGCCAGATCAGTAAACTGGATGTGCATGCAAAATTCAGTTCCTAGAATAAGACTAAAGTCCAGAACTGGATGAACAACCAGAACCTACTGCCAGAGTTTATAGCTGGTGAATGCAAAGAAGAAGATTGTTTTTGTTTCCATGAAATACGCCCTAAATTTTTTTTCCATGTCCCGTATGCCCGACATATCACTGTTGTGAAAAGGTGACTTTACTTTATATACTTTATAAAATATTTATGAGGTAGGGTCGACCTCAGAGCTGTACAGGTAAAAAATAAAAAAAAAGGTTTACATTACTTACTGAAATCTTAATAACTCTGTCCTCCGTCGAACCAACATAAAGTGGTCTCCTGGGACATCACTCACAACCAGGATCGAATCTGTCACCGCAGAATTGTAAAGCACATTCGTAACATCTAAGCCACAGATGCCAGCACAATTTTATTAGGACGCTACAAACCAGTCTAAGGGCTCACTAATTTCCTTTAGTTTGCATTTAAGAATTGTATAAAACACGCTGCTTAAAAGGGAATATGCCAAAAGTGACAAAAACAGGAGTGACTGCTGCCAAGCTAAATCAAATGTTTTGGCCAGAGACTTTCTCGACAAAAACCGCAGGTTAATTAAAATTAATTGCTTAGTGGCTAGATGCTTACCTGCTGGGTCAAAAATCTTGGGCTAAAGTTCACAATAAGGTACATGTTTATAACTGATGTGGGGTATCCAGTTTGACAAAAACTAAAATAGTAGAATCCAAGTTAAGGTCACTTTACACACCAGTGGCTTCAGAAGTCCCGGGTAGTTAGCATCCTTTGAATATTTTCTCCAGGTAATACCGTTGTGTTGGGAAATGAGCAGGCAAATAGACTGGCCAGTTCTGCACCGCTTGGTGGTGAACTGACATATGACAAGCTGGATGTTGTGAGGGCTCTTTGGGAGCGATTGAACAGTGCGGTAGCACAGATAGATCATTACGGTCTGGGGAGAATGGCGCTGCGAGGAGTTATGAGGAGATCTGGCCGACGCTGAACACTCAAGGGAAAGGCAAGACGGATGTACAGTCAGACAGTTATGGATAACTGAAAACCTCTAAAATGTTGAATGTGATGCTAATGACATTACCCTTAGAGTGCTGAATGGTCTATACAAATTTGGGTCCATCACCATATGCTCGATATGCCATTGGTGTGCAAATGAGTCATTTATTTTACTTCCTTTTACACTGTTCACAAAGTGACTGACACTGCAGTGAAAGGACCGGCAATTTTCACTGACACTGAAAAGCAGGCGTTTAAAGACTTGGTCACTAGTCATTTCAAGCAGGAGGAAAATGAAGCTTTATCTAAGTGGAGGAAAGGTGAAAGGCCTGTTTATGGTAAGATTGTGAATATATTTGCATTCTTATACTCTTCTTCTGTCTTTCATTTCTCTGTCGAGCTTATGCTTTTGAAGTCTTGCTGATGATGAGGCTGGCTTTTGCAGCTACAGTTTTATGCAGTATGAGGTAGCCAATCAAATGTCTAACCTCCTGCACCACTGGGTGGTGCATTGATACATGACAAGGCAGATGTGGTCAAGGCTCTTTGGAAACAAGCAACGGAATCAGTAGAAAAAGAAGATTATTATGGCCTGGAGAGAATGAGGCACCTGGGTATAACCAGAGGATCTGGCCAGCTCACTACACTCAGAGGAAAGGCAATACAGACAAAAACTAGATTGTGACCTGTACCATCAGTATTGGAACTTTGCGCTGGCTGCTGAAGATGAGGACGGAGCATGCATTAGAATCCCCTGAGTGCTGTGATGTCAATTCTTGACTCAGCTCAACTCATGCCTAACCTCCTTTGTGACCTTTTACAACAGTATGCCTGCTAGTTCATGAGAGACTATTCTTTGTTTCTCTGATAAGTCCTGGTAACATTTTAGTCATGTGAGCATTGAAGTATACCTGCAGGGTTCAGTAATCAGCACACCTTTATTTAATGTGATGTTTAATTTAATTGTCGGCGTCTGTGGCTTAGGCGTGCACTTCGTAATGCCGGGGTACTGGGTTCAATCCCTGCTGCAGACGATTTGTCTTGCGCTGGTTTCAACAGTAGCACCGAGAGCTGACCGTTTAGAGGCAATGGCAGACTACTGATCTCAAATTTGCCTAGAAAAACCACAACAGCCAATAAATGCTAAGGTTGGTTCTGTAACATCCTGTAAAGGATCCACAACTAACTTTTTAATTTAATTTATTTCTCCTTGGCATTTTCTAACAGTTCTTACTTATTTCATTTTGTAATATGGCTCTTCGTGTCCATATTTTTACGTCTTATTTATTTCTTGGTTTCATGTCGACCTTGGTTGTTTATAAGCTCTGTTGTCTTGTACATTGAGTTTTCTAGTCACATTTGTGTTGTATTAAATAAAGTAAAAATAAAGGACCCTTTTCCACGCCTTCAGGCATATTGGGCGCATAGGGCTAGGCCTATATTTTGTAGACCAATCCGCACTCGGTGGGTGATGTGGTCAACATCACGCTGGCCGCCTTTACTTCCCAGGACTAAATCTGGTTCCCTCAAGGTGGCCTGAAGTCAACCTGGGAACCAAGGTCTTTAAAAAAAAAAAAGTCAGGTATCATCAGGACACGAACCCACCAGCTTCCCATCAGCAGGCAAGCATTTACCACTACATCATTAGCGGCTCCCATTGTATTTAGTACTCTGTTGATGAAAACTGGTCAAAATGTTCAGTTGTATTTGTCTGAATTTTTGTTTCCATTCCCTCCCTTGAACTTTCTAGTCACCTTTTGTTTTGTGTTTTATTTAGTACTTCTTAGCATTAATGTATGTTTATAAAGAAGTAAACGCCTTGAATAAAGGGATGAATGTAGATGGGCCAAAGTAAGTACCCTGACCAAAAATTTTGATAATTTTTAAATTACAAGAGTGACTCTCAGCACGGGACATTTTTAAAAAACTTTTTTGCCCGGTAATGCTAAAAATAAAAGGATCTGTGCTTTATTAATATCCTACCCCAAACAGAGGAAATCCACACGTCACAGGACAACTAATATTTCAGGGGGTGGTAGGCTGCATACTGTCGTGGGACCTAGGCTGCATGCATTTGTGGGACCTAGGCTGCACTCTCTCGTGGGACGTAGGTGGGTTGGGGTTAGGGCCAGTTCTAGATGTTTTGGGGTTGTTAAAAGCATTAGAAAGCCGGGAAACCCAGTCTTACCACCCTCGACATTGTTGGACTGTCCTGTGACATCATCTGGGGTAGGATATTTAATAAAGAACCAAAAGATAATTTTCAGGTTGTGTACTTTCACACGCACGCACGCACACAGACACACACACACACACACACACACACACACACACACACACACACACAGAGTGTGGTAAATACAGTTTATACTCCCACTGCCAGCATCATTGGTTTTATTCTTATTAGGTGGCTGAACCATTTTTGTCTTTCTTTCTCAGTGAATTTAACATTAGGTATTACTCCAGTAGTTTTTGTAATCTGTTCATTTCTCATATCTCTTTTGATTTTGTTTTTCATCCGTTTTCAGATGTCCCATTTTAAAGGATATACTTGATTAACTTCCAAATAAAAAACACATTGGCAAGAAGTTACCATTGTTTATTTAAATATTCCATTCTGGTTTGCAGACAGAAATGCTGAAGCAGATGTCTCAGGTATGATGGCCAAGTGGACAAACCCAGTATTTCTCAATTACAAGCAGGTAATCTTTAGGTTTAATTCTTAGTACACATTTTGCTTACAGTATGTCCTAGCAGTGAGAAAGTTAGAGGACAGGAGGCAGAGGGAGACCAAGAGAGAAGATGCTGGATAGTTGGGCATCATGGCAGGGAAGAACAAATGATTCTTCTTTTTCTTCCTCTTTACGTCCTGTTTTACTACTGCGGGTGTCGAGGGAGATATAAGGTCCTGCTTCCTGCTCTTCTGGCTGCCTCGACCATAGACACATTGTGGTGCTGTAGAGTTTCTCTGATGTTATCTTCCCATCTTGTTCTAGCCAATGAGTTATAATACGTAATAGTGAAGGCTGTGAATGTATATAACACACACATGCACGCACGCACGCACCCACCCACCCATTCAGATGTTTCCTGCATGAGAAGCGATATTGTATCCCTAGCCATTTTAAGCGGACGAATTATAAGTCATGCAGCTGTGGTTGTGGTACAACATCACCTACAGGCTGAGAAACGCACTATGATGAGAAATTTGTGGTGCAGTACAATTCTGAAAGAAATCATTCTCATCAACATTTGTACAACAATTTTATAATAATAGGATGATTTTTGACAGATTTATTAAAATACATAAGGTTTTTTTTTTTGGGGGGGGGAGGGGGGGGGCAGGGGGGCTCTGTGTTATGTGTGTGTGAATATCTTTCTCTTCCTCTTCCTCCTCTTTTTTCTTCATCATCTTCTTGTTCTTTTAAATCTGTTCTTTCTCCTCCTCTTTCTCCTTAGACACCTCTTTTATCTTCCTTTAAAAGATCTCTTCAGCTACTGCATCCCAGCTGTCTTGTACTATTGCTTGGTTTTGTTTGTTTTTTATTCTTTCCTGATAGTTTTCCATGTTTTGTCATATATGATCACTTTTAGATAAAAGCTTCACATTGGCATTATGTGAAATCACATCATTGTTTCTATCTATTCTGTGCAGACTTATTTGGAAAATGTGTTTTAAATTTACTCTCATGCCTGTCCTTTTCACATAAAAAGTAATCCTTAAAATATATATTGTTTTTTTCTTCTAAAAGCCTGGACTGCTTGCTGACTCCTGCCCAAGTGACACAGTGCCGAGGTCATGTTTCCACTCACTTTCCTCAGTTGATTTTACCAAAAACTTACTTGATAAAGTCAAGGTAGATTTTGTCATTACACGTGAAATTAAACTGTGATAACTGTTTTAAAAAAGTAAGTGGATTGGAACCCCAAAAAATGTAAAGTCAATAGGGTTGACTCCATTGCATCGTGTTATCCCATATAGCTTAGTCTCTTTCTGCAAATGACTTATAATAATAAGTCAGTGAGTGTAAAGGGTGAAATGTACAACAAGATACATGCAAGATATTTAGTAGTCATACTTTCTTCCATATCTTTCTTCTGCTCAGAATTTATAAGACACTGATGCTTCTATTCTCCTTCTTCTTCGCATTCATCTTTTTTTAGTTGTTTTTTTTTTGTTTATTCATCCACTTCTGGACTTTGGTCTTGTTCCAGAACTTGAGTTTTTGCATGCACATTAGTTTGACAGATATGGCTTTTTTGTATGCAGACTGTTGGTTCCTTGCCGCTCAGGCAGATGGACTGTGACTTTGAAAGAAACACCATTAAATAGTTGACTTTTTACAATATGCCTTTTTAGGGGTCTGCATCTGTGGCTTAGGCATTGTGAACGTGCTTTGTAATTCCCCCGCCCCCAATTATATTATTACTTATATTCATACATAGTCCTACTAAACACTGCACATGTACATATAGAAACAGTGGAAATTAACAATACTTTTCAAGAGCAGGTCACTTAAGAAATGCTCAGACATCAGCATTTACGGTAACTAGATTTAATATTCTCAGAGTGCAGGGTTAAGGTCATGTCCCTTTATGTGCCATTTATTTAATATGAGTGACAAATTAATCATAGTCTAGAGTTGTAACTGTGTTATTTTGACCATATTACTAAATTTATTTATGGAAATTACTGGATCTCTCTACTGTAGGTTGTGGGCCAGCTGGACAACAAGTTTATTGTCTCTTTGATAGACAATCCTGACAGTTCTAAAGGTAGTGTTACCAGTGTTAGACTATGCAGTAAAAGTAATAAATTATTGTCATTGTTGATGAATGTTTTTCTTAGTTCAGACTGAGATAGGTTTTTAGTTCTATGTAAATGGGCGAAGTGGCATAGCCAAAGTCCCTTTTTTTGCCTTATTTTTCCCCCAAAAGTATTAACATTACTTCATACACGTTTTATGAGCCTGGGTCAAGAGAAAGAATTATGCTCCTACTGGAGATGTCTTTATCTCAACTAGGCAGTTGTCACATTTGGTTGTGGTTTACATCTAGTTTGTAATGTCTGCACCTTTTGACCCAACACATTTGATTTCAGCCAACTCTTAGCCGCCTCTTGTGGCATGCTTGTTAAGGGACAGGGGATCTGTTCTTTTGGTCACCAAAATGGGACCCCAGAACCTACATAGGAGGCTGGAAATTAAATCTCGACCTCTGCCCAGGGCCAGATTTAGATTCTTTGAGGCCTTAAGCTGGCTAAGCTATACAAACTATAGGACTCCTGTTTAAAAACTTCTACAAGAAGGTTTTACAGTTCTTGACTACATACACATGCATGCCTTTTATTTGTTTTATAGCCAAGCATTAATAGTGAAAAACGCAATTTTTTATCTCCGAAATAAAATATTTAGTAATTACATAAGTTAGTTGCTTATGCTTTACAGGACGTTACAGAACCAACCCTAGCATATTTTGGCTTTTGTGGTTTTTCTAGGCAAGTTTATGTCCAGTAGTTTGCCGTTGCCTTCTGGATGGTCGGCTTCTCCATACCACTGTCAAAACCAGCGCAAGGCCCGCAACTGGGATCGAACCCGGCACCCCGACATTACAAAGCACGTTCGTAACGCCTAAGCCACAGACGCCGACAGTAATTACATAGTAAAGATTAATTAGTGGCCGAAAATTTGAAACAGGAATATCAGTTGAATAGCAGTAAAACTAGTCCCTAAAATAAATCATGAAGCCCATATGGATTTCAGTGTTCTTATCCATAGCTTGTGTATACTAAGCTATCATCTGGTGTTGTCTCTGCGTTGGCGGTAGGCGCACTAACACCACTATTTCCAGTAGGCACACTAACACCACTATTTCCAGTAGGCACACTAACACCACTATTTCCAATAGGCACCCTAACACCACTATTTCCAGTAGGCACACTAACACCACTATTTCCAGTAGGCACACTAACACCACTATTTCCAGTAGGCACACTAACACCACTATTTCCAATAGGCACACTAACACCACTATTTCCAGTAGGCACCCTAACACCACTATTTCCAGTAGGCACACTAACACCACTATTTCCAGTAGGCACACTAACACCACTATTTCCAGTAGGCACACTAACACCACTATTTCCAGTAGGCACACTAACACCACTATTTCATCACAGTTTCCCACTTGTGTCAAGTGTCCAGCTTTGCCAGTTAAGAACTTATGGACATTAGATCTTTCAGTCCCAAGAAGTTGTTAATTTAACTCTTTGTTCCAAGGGGTTACATTTAAAAGCAGTAAATACTTAGGTCTTATGTTTTGACACTTCTGGTCAAAAAGGAGGCCTGGTATGGTCACTGTTTTTAGTTGTGTCAAATGTTTGGCTTCTGACAGACGGTGGCTGTTGCATTTTCCTCCATTTGTAGACTGAAAGGATAGTTTTCTTGCCCAGTTGCTGATTTCATTTGGAATGTTTTTTTCACCTGTAACCAGCGTGGTGCTGTAAACTGTAGTTTCAAAAGAGCGCGTGGCCTGTTGCCACAGAATAGGTGGTGCTTTATTTGATTTAAATTGATTGTGCAACGGATCATCTGTTTGCAACTGCTACTTCCATTCTAATGTCGGACTGTTTGCATTAGCACTTCTGATGGCTGCCTTATGCTTTTAATGCGAGTGAATGTTAGTGGATATGCTGAGACTGCAGTCTGTGTAAATTTTTGCACAAGAGACAGTGGTCGACGTTCTGTGTATTTTTTTTTGGGCACAGGAGCAGAGCAATTATGGGGTGACCCGTTTGCTATGAAACTGAAACTAAGATTACAAATACTTATGTCTGAGGGGGTTCAACAAAGATGCTATGAAACAGAAATAGTTAAACTAATAACTGAGATATAAAGGGTTAATGTAACAACAACAACTGTGTGTTATAGAAGATAGCAGGAAACATTATATTTGGAAAAGCAAATGAACATAAGGTGCGTTGTATGGTATTAAATGAGGTAATATTTGTAACAGCAACTCTTTTTATTTCAATCTCCAGCTACCAGGCCTAAATGCAGTTCCTTATTAGTTTTGTTTGATCAGCATGCAGTCCATGAGAGAATACGTCTGGAACACTTTACGAAAGGTAAAAAATCATTCAGGAAATGAATTAGCCACTGATGTTATTATGCTATGACATAGATTATTTAAAGGCCTGATACTTTTCAAAAGATAAGAGATTACCATGATAATTGTTTAATACTTTGTGTGTGTACACACATGCTTCTGTGCATATGTATATATATATATATATATTTGTGTGTGTGCTTGCGCTTGCGCATGCGCACGCACCTACCTGCCTGCCTGCCTGTTGTTGTGTTTTCTAATATATATAAACATCAACCATTACAGAAATTAATCATGAGGTCTGTCCCAGTTTGGTTGTTTAACTAGTCCTTGTCAGCACTTAGCACCCCCACCCCCAAATGCTTATCCGTGAGGAAGAAACCATATCAGATAGCCAAGTTATACATAATAATTTAGGTTGAACATGGTTAATCGATAGCAAAACAAAAAACATATGTATATATATATACAAATGCATAGATATGTTTTAAAAAAGCATGTATATTCATGTTGACACATGTGCATGCACATACTCTATACACATGTGTATTCACATTGACACACATAAATTCGCTTTGACACATATACATATACACACTCATTGTCTCATTTCTTCTTTTGTGGTTATGTATTCTTTCCAACTCATCTAATTAATGTTTTCATTTCATCTGACACAGAATGCTATGAAGTTAAGGGTGGAGAGAGAACTGATCGAATCAAGAGGTCTGAGATAAAACCCGCTCAGTCAGTCACAATGGATCAGGATGACTTGCGAATAATGAGGGCATTTAGCGATGAGTTCAGTAGAATAGGTCAGTCTATTGCTGTTAATTTCTTCTTCTGCATTTGCTCATGAAAAGGTGGTTGGCACGTTGTGTTGGGGTTTACAGCTAGGCTGAAATATCCGAGGCTGGTTCTGCACCACTTTGTGGTGAGTTGATGTATGACAAGCTAGATGTGAGGACCCTTTGGGAGCGTGAGAACAGTGCGGAGGATCAAATAGATCATTACAGTCTGAGCAGTATGGCGCTACGGGGAGTTACCTGGGAATCTGGTCAAAGCTTAACACTCAAGGGAAAGGTGAGACGAATGTACAGACAGTTACTGGTACCATCAGAATTGGAACTCTTCGCTTGCTGCTGAAGATGGCAACAAAGCGCTTATGGGAGTGTCTTTGATGTGGATTCTTAATTAAGCATTCAACATGTGCCCCAGCACATCCGATTTCAACAAACCCTTAATTAATCACCACAGCTTACCATTTAATATCAGACAACCAGACGGGGAGTGTTTAAGCCACAAACTGTGCAGGGACAGGTGTTTATTTTCCCTCCAATTTATTGAAACTTCTACAGAATACAGTAAAGTAAAATACACTTTTAATGCTGTTATTACATAAGGCACATGGTAAAAGGACTTTTTTCCACCCTTTCAGGTGTACTGGCATATAGACAAGTCGGTACTTGGTGGGCGATGCAGTCAACATCACATCTGCCAAGTTTACTTTCCAAGACTTACCTGGTACCCATTTAAGACTGGATCAACCTGTGAGCCAAAATCAGGCTCCAGCAGGACCTGAACCCACAACCTTTCGATCCGCAGGCGAGCGTCTAGCTGCTACGCCATGACGACTCCCATCAGGCACATGGTGCTAGAACCTTATTTTTGTGGACCGATCTTGATTTGATGTCTGATGTGGTTAACATCACTTCAGCCACTGTTGTGTACATTGCCGGACACTTCCTGGTGCCCATCTTAGACTGAGTCAGTCTGGGAACCCTGTTTAATTTTTTAAAAATGTACACTGTAACTTCTTTAGTACCAAACAACACACTGCTGATCATCATGTAGCAGGTCCTTTGCTGAACATCGCTCTCATCTCAGGCTGCCTGAAAGAAACTTTCTTGCCATCTCTCCCACCTCGTGCACTTTCATATGCAAGGAGTCACTTATATCCTATGCCCGTCTTCGTGTAGGCCAGCCCCTGCCCTTCCTTCTTGGTACCCTGCCTTCTGCTGTTACATTTTTCCATCCACCGTGGTACTTGATATGGCCAAAATATTTCTGAGACAAGATGCTGTTCAATAGCTAACCGTCCTTGATTATCAAATCTTTTAGAATGTCAGTATTTCTTTTATTCTTTATCCGTGGTATTCTGAGAATCTTTCTCTGTGTAGCTCTTAAGCTCAAGAGCACCTGTTTTCTTCCTTAACTCTTTGAGTAACAGGGGGTTTAGCATCACAGGCCCAAGGGGTAGTCAAGAAAGACGTAAAATCAGTGCATCTTGTGTTCGTTGGGCTTCTAGGTAGGAATCTATGAACGTATGATGCCTTCCTTGGGAGTCAAAGAGTTAAGGACTGGGAGATAGTCCACGGCTCAAATCCATATGTTGCTACAGGGAAGATGCACGCTCTAAAAATCTTTACTTTGATTTCCTTGCTGGTGCTTAACCATATACTTTTAATACTGTTTAATCAAAGGCACTATGCAGATCTGGATATAACTAGCATGCACCTATCAACATGTTGTGTGTGTGTAATCCAGTGTTTAGTCAGGAAATACTGATTAATTATTATTTTTTCTTCTTTTCTTTACATTCTCCCTGTCAGTATTGTTTACATATAAAGGTCACAGGCCTCTATGAATTCTGTGGTGAGACACACGTCTTCCACTGTTCCATACAGCTTGGTCTCCATTAGAATGCCAGTGAGCCACACCTGGGATCTTTCTCCAACACATCTGTAGCACGTGTTCAGTATTCTTTGGTGCCCGTCCACATGGGCAAAGTTTTGAAAACCCATTCAAGAATTCCTTGTACATATTGTTGCAGTCTTTTTTGTGTGTCTCCTGTAGTATGCTGTGAATTTGACCCATGTAGATGTAGAATATCAATTACTTTGTTATCATTATTACCTCAGTCGATTTTCAGCTGTGATCTTCTGGGACTCTTAGAGTTAATGGAGGTTTGAACCGTAGACCTTTTGATCAGGAGGCAAGCACCTAGCCACTATGTTTCTCCATGTAATAATTGGTATATTTACTGTATTTATATTTGTATGTTATATCCTGTTGTTTCATTATTATTCTCTCTTTGTGTTCAATTATAGTTTATTCAAATTTTATTTTACATTTTTAAAATTTACTTTATTGAAACTAATAATAAGTCTTCTATGTTTGCTGTTATCATCCATAATTCATGCCTCACACATGTAACTTCCCTGTTTTTTACTTAGGTGTAAACTTTTCTGTGGACAAAACCAGCAGGAACACAATTCACATCACATCACTTCCTCTGTGCTTGATGGAGAAAGATGCAAATGAATTGAAAAAGAACAAAGTAGCCAATGTTGTTGAAACTGTTGAGGTATTTATTTGTTTTTGGTCTGCTCTTTTTTTTTTTTTTTTTTTAGTGTTTTGTTTAATCATTCAGTTGCCATTCTTTGTAGAAACACTGAGCTAAATAAAATAAAAACTGGCACAATAAATAAAGTTACACCTCAAAATAAAATTAGACTTCATTTAAAAAAATAGTAATTCTGCACAAGAAGCCTTGATCCGCAGGTAAAACTATCTATAATAGCTTGTATTTAGTACCTTCCGTTCTTTTCGGAGGATAGTGTTATATGGTTTCCTGTACCGAGGCATGGTTTTCACAGCGTGTTTCAATGACGAGTGTCACTAGCCAGACCTGCTCGCGTTGAGAAGATGTTCCACAATTAGAGCTTGGGCTTTCAAGATCATTGACAGGTTTTTCTAAATGGCCTAGGGCTCTTAGATTAACCCAGCTCAACCCTGTTGCCCTGAGAAGACTAAACTTAGGCAGTTCTGGCTGATAATACTTGGGATCTTTTCTCCAGGCCATGCTGGCGTGGTAGGTAATTCTTCTTTCTTCTTTGTGTTCACCAGCTGTACACTCTGGCGTAAAGTTCTGGTTGTTCGTCCACTTCTGGACTGCAGTCATGCTCCAGAACCTGAGTGTTGCATGTGCATCAGTTTTACAGATCTGATTCAATTGAATGCAGACTGCTGGTTCCTTGCCTCTCAGGCAGATGCACTCCGACTTCAAAGGAAGCTCCCCAGTTAGTTGACTCTTACGACATGCTTTTGGGGAGGCAGTGGGTCTATTCTTGTTTTCCCCACAATAGGGCCCCGGAACCCACACGGGGGGGTGGTAGGTAATGATCTTGCAGACAGATTGGCTGGATCTGCTGGGTGGTGAATTGATACATGACAAGGCAGATGTGGTCAAGGCTCTTTGGGAACAAGCAACAGAATCAGTAGAGAAAGAAGATTATTATGGCCTGAAGAGAATGAGGCACTTGGGTGTAACCAGAGGGTCTGGTCGGCTGAATACACTCAGAGGAAAGGCAAGATGGACATTTAACCAGATTGTGACCAGTAGTATCAGTATTGGAACTCTGCGCTGGCTGCTGAAGATGAGGAGGGAGCATGAATGGGAATGCCCCGAGTGCTATAATGTCACATTCTTGACTCAACTCAACTCAACAGTTCTGACTGTGACAGTCCCGTAAATGCATATATAAGGCATGCCTGCAGTGACCTCTTCTTAAAAAGCGTAGTTAAATTTAATTTGTCCTATGTGTAACTTCACAGTGGTTAATAGGCCAGGATATGAATTATAGTAATTAAAAATAGCATTTAAGTGTTTCTTTATGACTCCAGTGGCTTTTTGAAAGCCAGGTTGATGTTGATTTTCCCACAAGCCTCAGTGATAGAGGTCACAGCATGCGTCACCTGATATCTATAGTTTTTTAGGTCCTGGGGAATGTATTCTATTTAATGCTTCACTCTGTTCATGTTTATTATCCATTTACGTATATTTATATATTTAAATATTCATTTATATATATATAAGAGTTGAAGGATACAACATAAACAATTTGCATTATGCAGACGACAGTTTTGATAACTGAAAACGCAACTGATTTACAACAACTGCTGGATACTGTAGGTAGGGAGAGTGCTAAGAAAGGAATTTCCTTGAATATTAAGAAAATGGAAGTAATCTTTATATCGAAGAAGAAGATAACACCACATTGTGATATCTCAGTTGAAGGGAAAATACTTAACAAAGTCGATAAATTAAAATATCTTGGAACAGTCTTATCAGATGGAAAATGTGTGACAGAAATTAAAAGCAGAAAAGGTCAAGCGAAGGCAGCATTTCAGAAAATGAAAAATATGTTTTAAAAAAACGCTATCATTTAATGTCAGAAAGAGAGTATTAAAATGTTACATAGAACTGCGTTACATGTCACAGCGAATCTTGGAATGTCAGTGAACAATTTAAGAGGAATTTAGAAGCAACAGAGATGTTGTTTCTGAGAGGAATGTTACAAATACCTTGGACGGCGAGAGTTACTAATATCAATTGTTTGAAAGAAGCTAAAGAAAGTAGATCTCTGTGTACAACAATAAGGAGACAAACACTATTCTTTGGCCACGTAATGAGAAGAGAGGCATTAGAAAATAACATGACAACCGGAAAGATCAGTTGATGGGTTGAAACGATGGCATGGAGGGATATCATCAAGAGAGCTGTTCCAGGCAACCAGGGATCATGATCTGTGCAGACGCATGAGCGCCTATGCCAGTTGGCAGGGCACATGATGATAATATATTTAAAAATTAAATAAAAAAATCTAAATGCAGACAAATACATTTTAAGATTTATTAGTGACCTGTCTTATGGTCGCCCTTTTTTTAAAAAGGATTTGTTTTTTGGAAATTCCCATGGATTGATGACCCATTTAAAAAAAAAATAATCAATAGGGTGAAAGGGTTACAGTGGGTTTGAATAATTTTCATGGGGAGTATGAGTGGGTGGCATGTTGTCGACCACAGCACCCATCAAAATCTGATTGGTCTATAAAATATGGGTCTAACACCTGACGTTCAATGTGCCAGTGATGTGACAAGTGTCCTGCACTTGATGTTTTTTTTAAAATACTAAAATGACACTTTACGTGTTAATATTGAGAATACAGAAAAGTATGATTTTCTTAACCTTTTCACCCCCAAAACTGTAAACAAATGGGTCATGACCCCGTTTGAGTTGAGTCAAGAATTGACATCACAGCACTCTGGGCATTCCCATGCGTGCTAACCCTGTTTGGATTCCTGGAAAATAAGGCACACACAACAAAAAAACAGCAGTAATATGCAGGTAATTAATAAATTTGTTAACAGTGTATTTATCGACATTTAAAAAAAATTTTTTAGAAATATAAAATGATATATGAAAGAAGTATTCATAAAAAAATTAAGGGGCAAAGGGTTAAATTGAATGCATCCTCCAAGACACACACACACACACACGCATAAGGTGACTCATGCTGTGACCCCCTGACCTTTACCATAGAGGCTTATGAGAAAATCTGACCTCCTCTTGGCATAAAAAACAGCCATTTAGCACAAAGGAAAATCCTCTAAATGCTATTGTTAATTTATTAATATCCTAACCTCCCCAACATTTTTGCAGGCGCGAACTCAGCCAGTTCTATTAACTACATATCTCATAAACAGGTAACAATAGGCAAGTCGAAAAAGTGACATTTACGGGGAATTGAACCCAAGCAGAAGTGGTTTTTTTTTTGGGTGGGGGTGAAAGATTTAAGACATCACAGAAATAGTTGTCTTTATCATCATCATCATCCTGTTGTACCATTATGCCTCATGAAGTGCTCGCAGTCTAGTCTTCCATTCTGTTGTATCCTGTGCATTTCTTTTGATATCATGGATAAAATTTAGTTTAGCACGTTCGGCCTCTCTTAGATTTCTTTTTGTCATCCTAATTTCCTCAGTCCATTTGTTTCCCATTTTGGTACCTGTTTGATGATTCTCTATCTGCTTCTCTTCATGATGTACCAAATGTTTTGGCTTTTGCTGTCTTCTTTGTCCCATAACTGTTCTCCTCCTTTTTCGCGTTCACCGGCTGTAAACTCCGGTGGAAGGTTCTGGTTGTTCGTCCATTTCTGGGCTGCAGTCCTATTTCAGAACCTGAGTGTTGCATGTGCATCCGTTTGACAGATCTGACTCATTCGTGTGCAGACTGTTGGTTCCTTGCTTCTCAGGCGATGCACTCTGACTTTAAAGGAATCTTTCGATTAGTCGACTCTTATGACATGCTTTTGGGGTAGGCGGTGGGTCTATTCTTGTTTTCCCTATAATAGGGCTCGGTAACCCACACGGAGAGAATTATCACTGTTAATACAAGCAGTTTTCCAGACATTTCTTTGTCTGCCTTGAAATATACATGAATCAAACAGATATAATAACCAGGAATACTATTATTATTCTGCCATCTTTAATGTCAAATACAAGAAAAGATTATAGTATTTCAAATAGGGTAATTGCACATGGATCAGAAATTTTGTGTGTTCTTGAATAACTTTTTTTCCTAAAGCTATATTTTCTGTTTGTATTTTTTTTTTTCAGAATCTTATTAAAGAGCATATTGAGGTGAGTATTGGCTACATTCTAAATAGAAGTATTCTTTTCATTGCAACTTTTGTTTTTTGTTTACATGCACAGTTAATTAACATTTGTGTTCAAACTGAAAACTGTATTAGGTTAGTAAAAATGGTATAGTAGATTCAGATGCTACACTTTTGGCATCACAAATCTTCTTCTTCTTCGTTTTCACGGCTGTAAACTCCAGTTGAAAGTTTTGGCCATTCATCCACCCCTGGACATTAGACTTATACCAGAACCTGTGTGTTACGTGCACAACTGTTTTACAGGACTTATTTGTATGCACATGTTGGTTCCTTGCCTCTCAGGCAGATGCTCTCCGACTTCGAAGGCAACCCCCAGTTAGTTGGGAAGACAGTGAGTCTATTCCTGTTTTCCCCAAAATGGGGCCCCGGAACCCACACGGGAAGCATCACAAATAAATATCTTCTCATTTGCACAGGCCATTGAATCTGCAGACACTCCTGTGTTTCTTTAACTTGTCACATACCTGTGACTAAAGGTGTGAGATAGGCCTCCAAACTCAAGATTACATTTTAGAGACCAAAAAACTCAATACGAGTTTTAGCTACACTGGCAATTAAATCATGGGTACGATCTAAAATGGTTAGATTTTATCCGGAAAGCAGATTTTTACATCATATGCTAAAAACCATTGAATGTGAAAGAAGAAGAAATTACTGGATCAGCCTAAAGGCTGTACTAGTCAAAGACAAAATTGTATTTTTATAATAGTAGTGTCTCAGGCAGAACAGTCAAAGAAGCCAACGGCGCCTTCTACATGACAACCAGCAGCATGACGCTGAAGGTGATGGCAATGACGCAAGCGTTTGCCTGGCTTGAAACACAAAAATACACCCACATATGTATACTCAGTGATTCAATGAGTATGATCTGGAGGGTTCAGACAGGTTTGGTGCAAAGACAATGGCTTGAATCATTTCATAAGTACACTGTGCGTGGAGTCACCTTTATTTTTGTTCCGGGACACGCAGGCGTCTATAGAAATGAAAGAGCTGACGGGTTGGCTAGATCCGCTATCACTACCGAAAGTCAGCCTATGGATCATGCTGATATTATTATTGCCCTCAGAGAAATGGGAAGGATAGAGGACTTTGGTGTCAGTGAATCCACATCACTCGCCAGAATGGCAGACTTGGGAATTAAGATCGGCATAGCAAAAAACGAGACGCACACCAGAAGACTTGTTTATCAGCATAGAACTGGTACTATTAGCTATCGGACGTTGATACTGAGGGGAGGATCTGAGCACCTATGGACATGTCCGGAGTGCAATGATGATAACCCAACGAACTAACTAACTAAAGTGTCTCGTGTAATATAATTAAATGATATTACAGAATCACTAACAAAGAGTGCAGGGAAAAAACAAAAAAATGTTTCACTAAATCAGTGTGGAAGAAAGGATACTGCCACACTCACTGAGAAAGCCTTATATATAACTTATATGTCCTCACACTGTAATCCAAAGGATTAAAGGCAGGCCACAAAACTCATGGAGAAAAAAAAATTCAAGTGTGAAATGAAAACAGATTTGGGAGCACATGCAGTGAGCTGCAAGCGATGGTCAGTTTTTTCAAATACAAATTCAGAGTGTTGACCATGGAGTAGACATACAAGCCTTATGGCCTGCGACACTGCAGCTGCCAAATCAATAAAATAATTAAGATAATATTTATCTAATAATTTTAATAATCAAAATAATTTTATTAATTAATGGTTTTAATCACTAATTACAATTAGGTAAAGAATTACCTGATTTCTTTCACTTTAACCATAATACACGTCATTTTGTTGACTTAGACACTTGGAGCAATGGGATATCATCATATTATTATGACATAACAGTTGATGTCAAAATTTAACAAAATGTGATATTTGCACCCCAAATAATTAATATTTGTTCTTTTTGTGAATATAATTATACCCACCATGTCTACACACTATGCAGTTGCAATCAATACCAAAGCTGTTGTATACTTACCTGGTTGTTTATAGTTGTCCCCCCATGGGATGCAATTGTTTTTGTTATTTTGAAGCCCCACCCTTGCTTTTGCAAGGGGCCCTGAATATAGCCGGGCCATGAATATGGCCTAGCCATAGATATGGCTTAATGGCTGAAAGGGTTTCTGGGACCTCTCCACGGGTGATCTTCATCCGCATGGTCGCACTTTGTGTCATTGGGTGTTTATTGCTTGTGTGATGTCCTAGTGGGGTACAACTACCTACCTACCAAAGCTGTTATTTAGGTCTGATAGCCACTGCCAAAAGACTCCAAAGTCATCAGAAACCCATAAATTAGAGAAAAAGAACTTTCTCGGGGTGACGGGATTAAAGTCTTGGAACACAGTATGATAATTGTCATCATCATGTTCAAGTAACAAAAGTCCTTTGGGAAGTTTCACTGTCATTACTCATCCCTTGATTCATTTTTTTGTTTCCATTTCCAATGTGCTTTTATATCCTGTGTCCACCTTCATATTTGTAGACCCTTACCTCTTCTTCTCAGAACCATGCCTTGCATTACTGAGTCTTTCTAAACCATTGTGATTTGTCTTCTTCTTCTTTGTCCTTTTCTTCTTCTTCTTTTGACCCACTGCTTATGCCGTAAAGTGTTGCAGATAGGAGTTAGATGTCTTTTGCTAGTTGCATAGCTTGTGTTAATGTCCTATTACATTTCTTTAGTGTCTCTTTTACTCCCTTCCCTTATCTCTTTCTTGATTGACCTCTTGTCTTGTAGCCTGTTGTTCTCATGTAGTACACTCTAGCTGCTGGCTGATTTTGTTCCATTCTGACCAAGTGACCAAACCATTTGATTCTTTTATGTTCCATTATTTTTTTAGTTTATTATTGGTAAATGTCTCTTCTTGTTTTTCCCACTGTATTTCTTATACATCTCATCTCACATGTTGTGATTTTATGTTTATATTTGTTTAAAGGGCTGACCATACCTGGCGTTGATAGCACAAAGTTGGTACAAATATTGAGTGTCAGCTGCTTTTTTTTTTTTTAATGTATGCATGTTAATATTTTGATGCTTCAAGAGCAGAGCTGTTTGGTAATTTATTTTGTTTGCCTTCTATTTTCTGTTTTCTGTTTGTCTGTCCAATCTTCCATCCTCAGTGAATGCACTGCCTGGGTACTTAAACTTTAGCTTATTTTAATCTTCTTCTTCTTTGTGTTCACCAGCTGTGAACTTCTGTGGGAAGTTCAGGGAGTTCATCCACTTCTGGATTTTAGTCTTGCTTCAGAACCTGACAGTTACACATCTGTTTCACAGATCTGGCCTATCTGTATGCAGGCCTGTGGTTTCTTGCTTCTGAGGCAGATGCATTCCGCCTTCGAAGGTTGTCCTTAATTAGTTGACTCCTATGTCATGCTTGTTGGGGAGGCAGTGGGTCTGTTCTTGTTTTCCTCACAATAGGACTCCAGAACCCACACGAGGAGCTTGCTTTAAGGTCTCTCCTTTAACAGAGATTATTTGTTGAACTGGTATTGTATTTTTCAGTATTGTTTCTGTCTTTTCAGTATCAATTTTCATATTTCTTGCAACAGGCGTTGAGGCGGGAAAAGGATCCTTTACTTCTTACTTATTTTACTTCTGGCATTGATGTGGTGTTTAAAATGGGAAAAAGATGAAGTGTATTTGTATCCAGTTTTTAAACTGAACATTTCAGCTGCTGAAGTCCACAAGTGGAGCATGTGGAAGACTGCCACTAACCATCCACAGAGTGTTATGTTCACAGGCATGTCATGGTAAGGATACAATCAATTCACATATTAAAATGGTAGCAGTAAACCCTTGAGTAGTGGGTAGCTGTGGCATTAGGATACTGATCTGATGCTTAAGATGACTGTAGTTCTAACCCCTGGCAAGCCAAAGGCTGTTGTATATCATAGATATAAAAATCCAGTATGATGGATAAGCAGGCTGACTATTTTAGTCTTGGCAAATATTTGCTTCTTGCCATAGTTAGCTTTGCATTTTCTCTCATATGTGGACTAAAAACATTTAGTTCCATCAACAGCTACTTAGTTGAGTGCATGGTGCAACACTATGATCTGCAGATTTTTGTGCGTGATTGCTTTTCTATTATGCCCAAGATCTTTGTGTCATGAACTGCAGATTAAAAAAAAAAGGAAGAGACGGGCTTGTTACCACAGAATTGAGGGTGTCTTATATAATATTGCTTCTGCAACTGCTATGTTTTAACTGCTGTTTCCATCGCTGATGAACTGCCATTTTGTTAATGACAGATTGTTTGTGTTGGTAGTTCTCACAGCTGCCTTATGCATTGAAATTTGTGTATATTCTATTAGCTTTATAGAGATTGTAGTCTGTTTCAATTTTTTTTTATAAGAGACAGCGATGGGCATTCTGTATGGTTGTCACCAGCACAGGAATGAAGCAGAATGGGATGACTTGTGTGCCATGAAGTTGGAAATGCAATCAACTGCTGTTATAGATGAAATTTAAATCCTGAACCCAAACACAGCATGGCGCTGATACACAGTCCACGTTTCGCAAGTGTAGAGCAGTACTGGAAGAATTACAGCTCTGTAAACCTTCGGCTTGGTCAGAAGGCAGATACCACTTCTGTTCCAGATGCTGCTAAAAAGTCTGCCAAAATTGCTTCTGGACTTTGAGATTCTAGCGTTGATCTCATCGTCAATGTTGACTCTCTGAAATAGGGTACTGCCAAGATAAGTGAATCTTTCGACTATATTTAACTTCTGTTCATTTACGTGATAGTGGGATTGCAGTAATTTTTCTTTCTTTCTGGGAGCTGGTTGATAAAGAACAACAGTTTTAGCAGGCTTCAGAAAAGCTGTTGATGATGTCCTCCTCTACTGACTGTATCAAAGACCTTTGTGAGGTCTGTGAAGGTAGAATAGAGGTCGCAGTTTTGTTCTTGAAACTTTTCCTGGAGCGGGTGAGCAGCAAAAATCATGTCAGTGGTGATAATTGGATGAAAGTGACTTGCACAAGGACTTTGATTTAAGTGAGAAAGAGTTGCGCAGTTCGTCAACCTCACACTCTTGCCTGTGTCCTTCTTGATCCAACAGCAGGATAATGTTGAGACGATTGAAAATGTACCTAGGTGCAGTGGATAACCAAGGTGTCTTACGTGCCTTGCTTGAAGCTCTCCAGAGCCTGCTGGTAATTGCCTTCTTGTCCGTTGAACCATAAGAGGTTTCATCCTTACAATTTGCCAAGTCTAGTCTTTGCATGCAGGGTAATACTCAAATACTAATGTTAAGGCAAGCACTGTTGTATAAAAATTAACCTTGTTGATGCCTATGTTGAGCCAGTTAAACTGGCTGCAAGAAATGTTCCAGAGAGAAAAGACACTTGGCATGATATCGATCAGATCATTAATTGAGTGCCAGTTGATGTATTCAGATATGGATCAGCTATCTTATGCTACCACATGCACCATAAGACAAAGGACTTACTTGTTCTTGTTACTTATTAGTTGTGTAAACTTTTTAATCTCTTCAGTGCAGTGAGTCAGCTTCTGGATTGATGTAGTGTATTTCAGTCCCTTCACAGGGTTTATGTCTGGACTGATGTAGTGTATTTCAGTCCCTTCACGGGGTTTATGTCTGGACTGATGTGGTTGTTGAAAATAGCCTAAGGAATATTTTAGAATGCTTACTATTATTTGAAGACCATCTCCGTGTGAGTTCTAGGGCTCCATGGGGGAATTTAAGGGTGGAAGAGGGGGAGGGGGGGAGAATACACCCACTGCCTCCGAACAAGCATGTAATAAAGGCCAGCTAATAATGGGTCTGTTGAAATAAAATGTGTTACACGAAAAGATGCAGATATCACAGCCAAGATATGAACCCCAACACACTATTCCAGCCATCCTTTTAAAAAAATAAACACAGAAGATTTGAAGATCAAAGAATGCTTGACTAGTTGTGGCCTCATACAACACCAGTTTTTATAACACCTCTGAGTCATTGACATTGAAAGTTAATTAACAGAACAAAATGGGAGCAAAATTGTATAGGTTCTGACAAACATCCAGTTGATAAATAACAAGATTTAAAAAAAAGCAGATGTTCATTTATTGTGTAATATCATTAATACTTTTCTTTTCAGTAATTTTAGGGGGGTGGGGGGGGGGGGGATGTAAATAAAGTTTTTTTTATAGTCAGTGCATCTGACATTTATAGCCTGTTTGTAACTTATGTATTATTACTTTTCTAGGTCATATTATTTACGTTTTATTTCTTTACTTATATTGTCATTCATATATTGTTTAAATGATATGTTATTTCTGTGTGTCAGACCTAAGTTCCTTGTAGTGTCAATGCCCTTTTTGTGGCTCAAGCAGAAGACAATAAAACAAGTATGCATGCTGGAGAACATTGGGCGAGGAGAGGAGTGGGTCAGAGTACCAGCGGAATAGTCTGACCTGTGTAGGGTTATGATCACATTGGCCCGGGAGTGCAGAGAGTGACCAGCAGATGCTGCGGAGGTGTAAGTCCAACAGTTGATTCACAACAATTCACGCCCAGATGATCTGATTTTCTATACAGATGGTTCGGTGGTGAGAGGAAAGAGAAGTTCCTGGGGGTTCGTAGTGAAAGCCAGTGAAAAATCTATCTTGCAAGACACCCTGGTTTGCGACATCACAACATCTAGCATGAGAATGGAGATGGAGGTGGTGACTGCAGCTCTTCGGTGGCTAGAGCTGCACACACATGTCATAATTTTAACAGACTCTCAAGGCATGCTGAGAAAGGTGAAGACAAGAATGCTTGGAGCAGAGTGGCAAGCTTAACTGGGAAGGTCACAGTAAGCATACTTTAAATCTTTTCTCCAGGCCATGCCGGTGTAGTGGGTAATGAACAGTCAGACAGATTGGCTGGATCTGCACCACTGGGTGGTGAATTGATACATGACAAGGCAGATGTGGTCAAGGCTCTTTCGGAACAAGCAACGGAATCAGTAGAGAAACAAAATTATTATAGCATGGAGAGAATGAGGCACCTGGGTGTAACCAGAGGGCCTGGCCGGCTCACTACACTCAGAGGAAAGGAAAGATAGACATATAACCAGATTGTTACCAGTACCATCAGTATTGGAACTCTGTGCACTGGCTGCTGAAGATAAGGACAGAGCACACATGGGAATGCCCCGAGTGCTGTGATGTCAATTCTTAACTCAACTCAACTGCCCTTTTTGTTTCACTGCAGGACCTTGTTTCATTCTTTACTTGTTTATTTAACTGGAGTAAGGTAAATTTAATACTAATTAACATAAATAAAATTTATAAAATTATTCTCACATACTGACTGCCTTTAGGTGCTGTCAAATTTGGTGACAAGCTGACGGCACAGGAATGCAAGGATCTTTTGTCTTCCTTGTCTTCCTGTAACCTCCCCTTTCAGTGTGCCCATGGTCGGCCATCTTTGGCACCACTGGTTAATCTTGATGCTTTGGAGCGAGAACTATTAGTCGCGGTATGTATGTTTGTCAGAACTTTAGAAGTAAGAAACTGTCTTTCTGCTTCTTTCTATGAGTGCCAATTAAGAAACTATCTTTTTGCTTCTTTCTATGAGTGCCAATTAAGAACCTATCTTTTTGCTTCTTTCTATGAGTGCCAATAAGGAACCTATCTTTCTGCTTCTTTCTATGAGTGCCAATTAAGAACCTATCCTTCTGCTTCTTTCTATGAGTGCCAATTAAGAACCTATCCTTCTGCTTCTTTCTATGAGTGCCAATTAAGAACCTATCTTTCTGCTTCTTTCTATGAGTGCGGATTAATACATGTCTATTTGTTTAATATATATGATTTTCTGTGCTTCAGTTGTTCCTTATCTGTTTAATTCTCTACTGTGTTTAAAAAGCAGTTAGTTCTTTCTGTACTGCACTTAGAACTATATATATTTAATTCAGTGATTTTGTTTTGATGAAGGTGTTTGATGATGAAGGTGTTTGATGATGAAGGTGTTTGATGATGAAGGTGTTTGAGGATGAAGGTGTTTGATGATGAAGGTGTTTGATGATGAAGGTGTTTGATGATGAAGGTGTTTGATGATGAAGGTGTTTGATGATGAAGGTGTTTGATGATGAAGGTGTTTGATGATGAAGGTGTTTGATGATGAAGGTGTTTGATGATGAAGGTGTTTGATGATGACAGTAACAGTAAACTAAAGGACCCTTTTCCACGCCTTCAGGCAAATTAAGCATATGGGGCTAGACCCATATTTTTAGACTCTGTGAAGGCTCTGTGGGATGAGATGGACAGTAAAGAAAAAGCAAAATAAAGATCCCTTTTCACGCCTTTAGGCACATCAGCATATGGGAAGAGCACCTATATTTTTTACAGACCAATCGGCACTAAGTGGGTAATGTGGTCAGCATTACTCAGGTCGTCTTTACTTCCCCAGGACATACACCCTGATACCCATTTTAGACTGGGTCGACCTGTGACATCCATACCATGATAAAAATCCGCGCAGCCAGCAGTGAGTTTAGATCGCGGTATGTTGGAATTACGAGTCTGACTCACAACGCCTAAGCCACAGACGCCGCTAGATGGACAGTACACACCCAAAAAAAAAAAAAAACAGATAGGGAATTCATACACTGAATAACTAATTCTACTGAGGAAAAGGAGGGGAGTTGTAGAGGTTCTAAAAGATATTCTATTTTGAAGAGGAAACAGAGGTGGACTTAATCTGGTTGTAGCTGGTACTATTAGCATGTCAGTTTTTCATTGGTTATCGAAAAAGGGGACAGAGCATGTGTGGGAATATTCTGAGTGCAGTAATGTTAGTTCTTGATTCATTCATTCATTCCTTCATTCATAGACCAATCAGCACTCTGTGGGTGATGTGGTCAGCGTCACACTGGCCACCTTTACTTTCCAGGACCTTTACCTGGTACCCATTTAAGTATATAAGACTTCAAGAACCTGCTTTAGAAGATAGCAGCAGGTGGTATGTGCTCTGAATGGGTAGAAAGCATTTGAAAATCGCACTTCACCTCCCTCACCTGGATCTACACACCTGGTCATGCTGGCATAAAGGATAAAGAGTGAGTGGACCAACTAGCAAGCAGTGCATTAATGCATGTGCAAAAAAGCATGGACAGAGCAGATATCATCAATGCTGTACGGACTGAGCTAGTGGAAAATGACAAATCTGTGACACTATCATGACTGCATGACATGGGATAAAGCATGGTGAAGCACGACTATGCTGCCATCAATGCTGAGATAGGAGACATTTTAACCAACCTCTCATGGGAAAAATCGGTAGAAATACCTTGGAGTGGTTGCTGCATTGGAGGACTGAGCGTGCATAAAAATGCTCAGTGTGCAATGACGTCAATTGTGATAACATAACCTGTTTAAGGCTTTGTCGACATGGGAGCCAAGGTCGTTTTTGAAAAAAAAAACTGGCTCCATCAGGTCTTAAACCCATGTCCTTCCGATCTACAGGTAAGCGTCTGACCTCTACACCATGCGGCTCTATTTTTGTGGTAGTGTTGACAGCTAAATCAAATTTACATAATTTTAAATTCAACTTTTTTTTTTTCAGAGAAAGCCTCCAAATTTATGGAAAATCTCTCAGCTCATTAAACATTGACTTCTACTGAATAAACAGTACTGACCGAACAATTCTGCATCTCTGTGATATGAGCACAACATGGTATCCGTATTACGGAAATTGACATTGTTACATTAAAATTATCTTGCTGTAAAACATTGAAAAAAATGAATTTGTGTTTTGAGCTGTTTTAAATTGTTGTATTGGTGGCATTATGTTCTCAGTTTAATGTTTATATCTATATGCATATATTCTTACTTTAATTAGTACGTCATCATGTTTTTAAATATTTGTAAAATCACATTGTTTAATTTGTTTTAATTATAAAAAGCTGAGTATAATTTAAAAATTATGAGAACAGTTTTAAAAAAAAATTTCAGCAGCCTAGTATCCAGGGATCAGGAATTTGTTAAACAGGTTCACTAATCCCTAATCCATAGAACCATAACCCTGTTAATAAAACTTTCATTAAGGCAAATAATTAAAAATAGCCTCTAGCTTACCAAGGAACACATCATTATTATTTAATTATTTTTCAAAATAAGACATCATTATTATTTAATTATATTTGTTTTACACAGTATTAAAATAAAATCCTCACCAGCACAGTTGTGTTGACAGCACTGGCCATGCGGTCCTAAATCCTCAGGCTCAGACCCCCCCTTGACTACACCTCAAAAGTGGTAAAATAAAGGCAGTAGTTGGCTGTTACACAGTATTTTACTGTAATAATTTTATCATTTCTGAGTAAGTTCGTATTTGTGTTGTCATTTGTTTCTCATCAAAGTTCTGCTGATAAACGCTAATTGCCAAAGCATCTTTTGTCTGTTTATTGTAATCAGTTCTGTAAAACTGACATACATTTTATGTTTTTCCTGTCTTCTCTAGTACAAAAAGAGTAAATAGACTAATTTTAATCATTGCCTCCTAGAAGGTTCCTTGTTGGTTACTTGCCTCTCAGATCGATGCACTCTAACTTCAAAGGAAGTGCCAAATTAGTCTTGCTGTTGGGGAGGCAGTGGGTCTGTTTTTGTTTTCCCCACAACAGGGTCTCGGAACAACCACAGGAAGGCCAGGATATGAATACATTAACTTAAAATTGCATTTAGGGAAGGGAGTTTCCTTCAAGTTATATAGCTTTTTTAAAGCCAGGTTGTTTTGTTTTCCCCACAATGGAGCCCCAGAACCAACACAGGGATGAATATCTTGTAACACATCCAGTTGTTATGCTGGCAACCTAATCTTGCATTTTTTTCTGTAACTCCTTTTGTCCAATAAAGGTATCATTTTAACTCCTCAAACTTAAACTTTATTGACTTAAAGTAACAACTTCTTTAAAAAGACAAGTTAAAGTCATGCCTTCTTGGTACTGAATGAGTTAACTCTTTAACCCTTTCACCCCAAGAAGCAGAAAAACTGACACTCCAGTTGAGTCCAATTCCTTGTAAATGTCTTCTTTTTTTTTTTGACTTGTCTGTAGTGACCTGTTTTTGAGATGCGTAGCTAATGGTGTTGGCTTTTTTAATGCCTACAAAAAACATTTTGGAGGTTAGGAAATTCTTCTTCATGCTCACCAGCTGTTAACTCCTTGAGGGATGTCAACACACCAACTGATACATGTGATTGCGGATCGCAGATTGTAGAGAGGCATGATCACCCACACAGTCGACAAGTCGCTTGATGATGAAAAGTAATATACTCATGGTTTCTCCAGTCGGTTATTTATACATTTGGGCATTTTGGTTATTGGTGAGTTAAAAGGGCAGTTGACAGGTTGTGTGGTTTACATAGTGTTTACAGGTGTGACCATCTGGATGAAAACATTGCAGAAGATGTATTGTTTATTATATATTTTGTTCTTTTTTCTTTCCTTTGTTGTTGGGGTTTTTTTTTTTGGGGGGGGGGGGGGGGGGGGGCTTAAAAGGGCTTTTGGCATTATGTTGTGGTTTACAGCTAGGCTGTGATCACTGCACCTGGGGGGTGGCGGGGGGGAGCTGAGTGGTCTCAAGTGCTGGAGATCCTGAGTTCAGGCCCTGGTGTAGGCTGGGATTTTATTCACGTGGACTTCTAGCAATTTCCCCATGTCTCTAGGTACTAAGATCAGATGCCTGTGTGTATTGTTGTGCACGTAAAAAATCCTTTGACGCTGCCCGGGCAAAATTTTGAGTTTTAAAAAAATATACCCAAAGTATGTCAGGATCCTCACCGGTGCTACGGGATTCGTGAACTGCACTGAGATTCTTCAGATTCAGGCTTGAATTAGAAGAATGGAGCACTTATGGGTAACTACCCTTGTGCCATGATGTTGATCCATTGTATAAACCTTACAAAATCACTGCAGCTTTTGGCCCATCAGATCCACATTCAACAACATCTTAATTAGTTGCTTTTGTACGATATGCTAGTTAATTAGCAGTATGTACCTCCCACCCCTCCCCTCTTCCCCAGATGAGGCCCCAAAACCCACTCAGTTTATATATTAATATAAAAATTGTTTTTTCTGAACACTTCATATATTCTATGCTTCAGTTGTGATTGCTTGAACACACAATGTCACTCTTTCAAATGGACAATTCTCTCTCTCTCTCTCTCTCTCTCTCTCTCTCTCTCTCTCTCTCTCTCTCTCTCTCTCTCTCTCTTTCTCTCTCTCTCTCTCACACACACACACACACACAGACACATATGCGCACAAACACAAAGACGTGGGAGGCATTTTTTTATGACCAGTAGGGCTCAAGAGTTGACCAGTTTCCTAAACATGGGTACCAGACACTTTCCATAATCATTTTCAAAAGAAAAGGCAAGGAAGAAAGGAACTGGCCATCTCACTTCATATTTGATAGCCTAGTATATGTGAAGGCACATCACTTCAAATCCTAACAAAGCAGTCAGTATCTGCTGTTGACTACACATGTGCACACACACATTTCCTGATGATACCTGATACCTTTAGCAACACACGCTCTTCCTTATCAGTGCCCTTATCAGTGCTTTTATTCAGACATGGCTGTCCTTGATCTTTCAGTCACCACCCTGTTCCCTGTCAGCACAGTGTGTTGAGAGCTTTGTTCCAAAGTGTTTCCCCTGAGTAAAACAAGTACCAGAAGACTTTTATGTTCATAATGTGTTAGTAAGGTACTGTCCTCTTCACTGAGTCCTGGCACCTAGTTTAAAACAAGGTCCTTTTTCCACACCTATATGCTTATAGGGCATATAGGGCTAGACCTATACTTTAAAAAAACCAATCAGTACAAAATGGGTGGTCAACATCATGGCACGTAATTAATAAGTAAATTATCCTTTTCATGCCACTTCTGTTACTACTTATGTAAGCAACAACTTAGGGACTCTTTTCCTGTCACTTTACTTATTATATTACTTATGTAGCAACCAAAGGACCTTTTTTCTGTCACTTTACTTATTATATTAAAGTGTAGTAACTAAAGAACCCTTTTCATGTCACTTTACTTATTATGTTACTTATGTAGTAACTAAAGAACCCTTTTCATGTCACTTTACTTATTATGTTACTTATGTAGTAACTAAAGAACCCTTTTCATGTCACTTTACTTATTATTTTAACTATTTCCTCTGCCCTTTTCTATGGCTGGGTTGACCTAGGCTGTCAGGTCAGTGACAGAAATCCCCCCCCCCCCCAAATGTTCTTTGCAGTTGAATCAGTCTCACCATGTGTTTGCGACATTTCACCACTGCCAAGAGAGGCTTCTGATGTCCTGCAAATTTGTATATTTTGTCTCTGACATATTTCTTAGTTTCGTATTCTAAATATCTAATTGGTAAAATGCTTCTGTGGCATTTACATTTGAAAGCCGGAATCCTCCTTTCCATTTCCACAGTGAGAGTCCAACTCTCACATCCGTATAAGAAAATAGACAATACTAGTAATTTGTATATACTGACTTTATTTGCTATGCTGATTTCGCTCTTCCACATCATATTCAGCTGGGACCTCACGGCTGTTGCCATATCAAGTCGTGTCTTCTCTTGATCTCTTTGGTACAGCTGCCATCGTTACATGTGTGGGAGCCAAAGTATTTAAAGGTTTTATCTTCTTTTAGTTGTTCCCCTTTTGACTATATTTTGGTAGGTACTTGATTATTATGACAATTTACCGTAATCTTGTATTTCTCTGCATTAATTTTCTTGTCATATTTACTACAGACAACCTCTAAATTTGTAGTGAGTACTTGGAGTTCTGCTTTGGAACCAGCCATGAGATCAATTTTTTCTGCAAAACATAAATTACGTAGTGGTCTTCCGCCAATGGATATAGATGTTTCCAGATTTTCTAGTGTTTCTCTCATGATAAGTTCCAAATACAAATTGAAAAGTCCAGGGGATATTATGCAAACCTGTCTCACTTCCACATTGGTTTTGTTGCTGGGTAGGACATACACTGTAAAAACCTGATAATAGTGTATATACCATGTTGTTTCAGTGGAACCCACAAGGGAAAAGATGTAAAGAGACCTAATAATGGAGAAGAGGACTAGAAATAGTGATGATTAATACTAGGAATCCATTGAGGAAGCTGGGAAAAACAATGAATGATTTGGTTGAGTGCCTATACTCCAGTGGGGGGAATAAAGGGTAGAAGAAGAGAAAGACCCTGATGGTGATGATGCTGTGATATAATTATTAAACTACTAACTACAACTGTGATATTACTATGTAACATTTACTCTGCTCTTTTGTATTATATTTGTTCTTAAACCTTATTTATTAATGGGGTTGTGCAGGAGCTGTCATAGCGTACTGTTTTGTGCACAAACTTTTAAACACATTGGTACTGAATTTAACCTCCAGTATAGGAGGGATTTGGTTTTCAAACCAGATTAACCCATTCTCAATAAAAACAGATGTCCTGATATGCCTGGACCATGATTTGCAAGCAGCCAATGTTTAAAGTTTCAGTTTGTAATGGCTGAACTACTTGTTTCTAGCTACAGTGATTATGCATCACTGTGTATGCTGTACTATGTACATATTTGATGGATGTCAGAGATTGATTGTGGTTG